AATCGCATAGTTTTTGGCCGCTAGCGGCGAAATTTGCACGATTTTTGGCCGCTAGCGGCGAAAATCGGTCGATTTTTGGTAGGTAGCGGCGAAATTCGCACGGATTTTGACTGGTGGCGGTGAAATTTGCACGATTTTTGGCCGTTAGTGGCAAAAATCGCCCGATTTTTGCGGGCCAAAAACAAAACAAAACAAAAATCGCGCGATTTTCGCCGCTAGCGGCCAGAAACTATCCGATTTTTGCAGCTGGCGGGTAAAAATCGACGAATTTCGCCGCTACCTGCCAAAAACCGCGCGATTTTCGCCACTAGCGGCCAAAAACTATGCGATTTTCTCAGCTGGCTAGCAAAAATCGCGATTTTCGCCGCTACCGGCCAAAAATAGCGCGATTTTCGCCGCTAGCGGCCAAAAATCGGGAGATTATCGCCGAAAGCGGCCAAAAATCGCGCGATTTTCGCCGCTAGCGGCCAGAAACTATGCGATTTTTGCAGCTAGCGGCCAAAAATCGGGCGATTTTCGCCGCTACCGGCCAAAAACCGCGCGAATTTCGCCGATACCCGCCAAAAATCGACCGATTTTTGCCGCTAGCGGCCTAAAAAGGGGCTATTTTCGCCGCTAGCGGCCAAAAATGGGGCGATTTTCGCCGCTAGCGGCCAAAAATCGTGCGATTTTTGCCGCTAGCGGCCAAAAATCGGCGATTTTTGCCGCTAACAGCCGAAAACCGCGCTATTTTCGACGCTAGCGGCCAGAAACCATGCGATTTTTTCAGCTGGCGGGCAAAAATAGCGCGATTTTCGCCGCTACCGGCCAAAAACCGCGCGAATTTCGCCGCTACCTGCCAAAAATCGACCGATTTTTGCCGCTAGCGGCCTAAAAAGGGGCTATTTTCGCCGCTAGCGGTCAAAAATGGGGCTATTTTCGCCGCAAACGGCCAAAAATTGCGCGATTTTCGCCGCTACCGGCCAAAAATAGCGCGATTTTCGCCGCTACCGGCCAAAAACCGCGCGAATTTCGCCGCTACCTGCCAAAAATCGACCGATTTTTGCCGCTAGCGGCCTAAAAAGGGGCTATTTTCGCCGCTAGCGGCCAAAAATAGCGCGATTTTTGCCGCTAGCGGCCAAAAATCGCACGAATTTTGCCGGTAGTGGCCAAAAATCGCGCGATTTTCGCCTCTAGCGACCAGAATCTATCCGATTTTTGCAGCTTGCGGGCAAAAATTGCGCGATTTTTGCTGCTACCGGCCAAAAACCGCGCGATTTTCGCCTCTAGCGCCCAAAAACCATGCGATTTTCGCAGCTGGCGGGCAAAAATCGCGATTTTCGCCGCTACTGGCCAAAAATAGCGCTATTTTCGCCGCTAGCGGCCAAAAACCGTGCGATTTTTGCCCGCCAGTTGCAAAAATCGCATAGTTTCTGGCCGCTAGCGGCGAAAATCGCGCTATTTTTTGCCGGTAGCGGCGAAAATCGCGATTTTTGCTCGCCAGCTGCGAAAATCGCATGGTTTTTGGCCGGTAGCGGCTTAAATCGCGCGATTTTTGCCCGCCAGCTATAAAAATCGCACGGTTTTTGGCCGCTATCGGCGAAAATCGGTCGATTTTTGGCAGGTAGCGGCGAAATTCGCGCGATTTTTGCCCGCCAGCTGCAAAAATCGCATGGTTTCTGGCCGCTAGCGGAGAAAATCGCGCTATTTTTGGCCGGTAGCGGCGAAAATCGCGCTATTATTGCCCGCCAGCTGCAAAAATCGCATAGTTTTTGGCCGCTAGCGGCGAAATTCGCACGATTTTTAGCCGCCAGCGGCGAAATTTGTACGATTTTTGGCCGCTAGCGGCGAAAATCGCCCCATTTTTGGCCGCTAGCGGCGAAAATAGCCCCTTTTTTGGCCGCTAGCGGCGAAAATCGGTCGATTTTTGGCCGGTAGCGGCGAAATTCGCACGATTTTTGCCAGCCAGCTGCAAAAATCGCATTGTTTCTGGCCGCTAGCGTCGAAAATAGCGCGGTTTTTGGTCGTTAGCGGCAAATATCGCCCAATTTTTGGCCGCTAGCGGCGAAAATCGCACGGTTTTTGGCCGCTAGCGGCGAAAATCGCGCTATTTTTGGCCGGTAGCAGCGAATATCGCGATTTTTGCCCGCCAGCTGCGAAAATCGCACGATTTTTGGCCGCTAGCGGCGAAATTCGCACGATTTTTGGCCCCTAGCGGCGAAATTTGCACGATATTTGGCCGCTAGCGGCTTAAATCGCGCGATTTTTGCCCGCTAGCTGTGAAAATCGCTCGGTTTTTGGCCGCTAGCTGCGAAAATCGCGCGGTTTTTTGCAGGTAGCGGCAAATATCGCCCGATTTTTGCCCGCCAGCTGCAAAAATCGCATAGTTTCTGGCCGCTAGCGGCGAAAATCGCGCGATTTTTAGCCGCTAGCGGCGAAATTTGCACGATTTTTGGCCGCTAGCGGCTTAAATCGCGCGATTTTTGCCCGCCAGCTGTGAAAATCGCGCGATTTTTGGCCGCTAGCGGCGAAAATCACGCTGTTTTTGGCCGGTAGCGGCGAAAGTCACGCGATTCTTGCCCGCCAGCTGCGAAAATCGCATGGTTTCTGGCCGCTAGCGGTGAAAATCGCACGGTTTTTGGCAGCTTGGGGCCAAAATCGCGCCGTTTTTGGCAGGTAGCGGCGAAATTCGCGCGATTTTTGCCCGCCAACTCCCGCAAAAATCGCATGGTTTCTGGCCGCTAGCGTCGAAAATAGCGCGGTTTTCGGCCGTTAGCGGCAAAAATCGCCCGTTTTTTGGCCGCTAGCGGCAAAAATCGCCCGATTTTTGGCCGCTAGCAGCGAAAATCGCACGGTTTTTGGCCGCTAGCGGCGAAAATCGCACGATTTTTGCCCGCCAGCTGCAAAAATCGCATTGTTTCTGGCCGCTAGCGTCGAAAATAGCGCGGTTTTCGGTTGTTAGCGGCAAATATCGCCCAATTTTTGGCCGCTAGCGGCGAAAATCGCACGGTTTTTGGCCGGTAGCAGCGAATATTGCGATTTTTGCCCGCCAGCTGCGAAAATCGCATGGTTTTTGGCCGGTAGCGGCGAAAATCGCGCTATTTTTCCCGCCAGCTGCAAAAATCGCATAGTTTCTGGCCGCTAGCGGCGAAAATCGCGCGATTTTTGGCCGCTAGCGGCGAAAATCGCACGATTTTTGGCCGCTAGCGGCGAAAATCGCTCGGTTTTTGGCCGCTAGCTGCGAAAATCACGCGGTTTTTGGCCGGTAGCGGCGAAAATCACGCGATTCTTGCCCGCCAGCTGCGAAAATCGCATGGTTTTTGGCCGCTAGCGGCGAAAATCGCGCGGTTTTTGGCAGGTAGCGGCGAAAATCGCACGGTTTTTGGCCGCTAGCGGCGAAAATCGCACGGTTTTTGGCCGCTAGCGGCGAAAATCGCTCTATCTTTGGCCGGTAGCGGCGAAAATCGCGATTTTTGCCCGCCAGCTGCGAAAATCGCATGGTTTTTGGCCACTAGCGGCGAAAATCGCGCGGTTGTTGGCCGGTAGCGGCGAAAATCGAGCTATTTTTGCCCGCCAGCTGCAAAAATCGCATAGTTTCTGGCCGCTAGCTGCGAAAATCGCGCGATTTTTGGCCGCTAGCGGCGAAATTCGCACGATTTTTGGCCGCTAGCGGCGAAAATCGGTCGATTTTTGGCAGGTAGCGGCGAAATTCGCACGATTTTTGCCCGCCAGCTGCAAAAATCGCACGGTTTCTGGCCGCTAGCGTCGAAAATAGTTCGGTTTTCGGACGTTAGCGCCCGATTTTTGGCCGCAAGCGGCGAAAATCGCACAGTTTTTGGCCGCTAGTGGCGAAAATCGCTCTATTTTTGGCCGGTAGCGGCGAAAATCGCGATTTTTGGCCGCCAGCTGCGAAAATCGCATGGTTTTTGGCCGCTAGCGGCGAAAATCGCGCGGTTTTTGGCCGGTAGCGGCGAAAATCGCGCTATTTTTGCCTGCCAGCTGCAAAAATCGCATAGTTTCTGGCCGCTAGTGGCGAAAATCGCGCGATTTTTCGCCGCTAGCGGCTTAAATCGCGCGATTTTTGCCCGCCAGCTGTGAAAATCGCACGGTTTTTGGCGCTAGCGGCGAAAATCACGCGGTTTTTGGCCGGTAGCGGTGAAAATCACGCGATTTTTGCCCGCCAGCTGCAAAAATCGCATGGTTTCTGGCCGCTAGCGGCGAAAATCGCGCGATTTTTGCCCGCCAGCTGCGAAAATCGCATGGTTTTTGGCCGCTAGCGGCGAAAATCGCGCGGTTTTTGGCAGGTAGCGGCGAAATTCGCGCGATTTTTGCCCACCAGCTGGTGGGCAAAAAATCGCATGGTTTCTGGCCGCTAGCGTCGAAAATAGCGCGGTTTTCGGCCGTTAGCGGCAAAAATCGCGCTATTTTTGGCCGGTAGCGGCGAACATCGCATGGTTTTTGCGGCGATCTATTGGATGGGTAGTAGAGCAGGGCTCTGAAAAAGCCAAGCCAGGGAAATCTGCAGGACTGCCTGGTCCCCTTTTATGAAATGGGGTAGGATCAGTATAAACTGCATCAATCCCTGCAGGTTGTAACAGTAGGACTTTGGTACACATCTATAAATGGACTAGATGAAAGAAAGTAAATTAATTAGTTGACATAGCTAAAACACTTAATTCCACATACCAACTTTCGTAGATTTGCAGAGTAGAACAACCACACTGAAGCCAGTCAATGCTTTGATGACATTGAAATCTTCCATACCACCTGAAACATTTACCCAAATTAGCTTGTTAAACAAGATTTTACATATGCAGGTTCCTTTAATCTTATAATTAAGATTGTTAGAATTCTCCTTTAATGCTAATCAAGCAAAAACATTAAACTTAGTTTGACTAACCATAAGTACATTAAAGTCAGTAATATCTCAGTAATTTATTTTATCTACATGTAAGCATCATTTCAGATTATCTTCAGCCATAATGAGTGATTGTTTAAGTTATAATGTTTACTACCACACTCGCCTAATTCTGAATGTCAAGCAATTAACACCTTCAAACTCAGGGCTGAAGTTCGACTTTCCCATCAATATTCTGGAAGACAATATCTATTTAAGCTTCAAATAAATAAACTAAGTTGAAGTACAGTTACCATTCAATATTTAATTTGTGTACTATACCATCATTAAATGATTCTTTAATTTATGAACATAGCCTTTTAAGCTACAAACGTAGATTAAATCCATGTTGTGGCACAGTCTTAAAGCACATCTGGGATCCTCCGACATAAGTTTGAACCCCTCATCACAGCCCTTGTGCATTAGAAATATCACATTGTGATTTGTGTAATTTATAAATGAATGACTTCTAGCCAAATAATTAAGAACCATGCAACCAACTTAACACCAGAAGTTAAGCAAACAAATTAAGATTTAAATAAAACATTTCATAAAATCTTTAACTTGCAAATTTATGCCGTTTAACAGTTAGTGCCCAACTTTACATTCACAAATTTAAAGTCCCATTTATTCTATTCAAAGCACAATTCTTGCAAGAATTAACTTTAGGATATAGTACCCACTAGTCAAGGCCTTAAACTAGTTTCAATTTACCCAATTTCAAGGCCCCTTCACAATTTCATTAAATATTTAGGTAAAAATTATGTAAACACATTTTACCTATTAAACTAAATAAACTTACTTTGGCCCTCTAATTCTGACAACTATGCTACTTTCTGTAGCATTTAACACTTCCAGCGATTGTTCTGCAACTGTTCCTGAAGTTGTTGGAAGGACCTTCTACAACCTGTCAATGGAACATTAAATATGGTTAATAAGGTTTTGCATAGCAATTTCATTTTGTTTAACTTTAAAATATTTGTAATTTTAAAGTTACACTAACAAATTATCTACTTCCCTCCCCCACCATATCTAATTTATAAATTAGAAGATAAAGCACTTTGAAGTCCACATTTAAGGTTTATATGCTACAAAATTTGTATTTCAAATTTATAGTTTACGATTCCCCTCCCCCATATATCTTTGGTAACATGTATTTAAAACATGTCAAGCAAACTCAAGAGTTGTTGCTATTTATGTCAAACAAAACAATACGACAGATCTTTCATTCTTGTACAGCCACAAGCATGCGTACCATTTAGGCCAATAACTTTATTCCATGTTACCCCAGAACACTAAAAATTTAACTAGGTACCAATTTTACACCGTTAAACAGATGATACAGTTACTCGCCCAGGATTCATGCCAAATCACTCTTGCTTGCTTGCGGATCAAATGGGATTTAATTTTAAATAGATAAGCAAACTGTACACAGATCTAAATGTATTTGCCACTTGTAAAGAACTTAAACCTCATTTAGTAAAAATTTATAAAACCCACCAAACCGGGAAGGCTATGTAGTACCACCGAGTGTGGAAGTTTAAGGCACGAGATTCAAGAACGTGTTTAAGGAAAAATTGAAGATTAGAACCACAGCTAACAAGTGAGAACCCAGTTCGGTTGTGATCTGCACTGGCTCCACCACCAGAGTACCACAGAGGTGAAGAACCTGCTAGTCATAGGGAATGAGCTTACCCACAATATTGCAAATCTTCCAAATCTGCGGCAGAGGAGTATCTAACGTAATGGTGGAAACACTTCCAACTCTCGCGCCTCGCTGTCCAGGTGGTCCAACAGGCCACTGCACTTTCTGAAACAAAATATAAGAATCAGCCATCTGCCAGCGTCAGTCTTTTCCAGGCTGCACACTTACAGCCGACAACCCTAGCAACCCGCAGTCCCGGGAACGCACTTCCGTGTGCCCTGGGAGGTAGAGCAAGGAATAGAGGGTAGCAGCGAAGACTAATGAAAACGAGGAGAGTGCAAGGAAGAGGTAGTAAGGAGAGGTCACACTAGCACGGAGGGTGAATAGGTTCTAATCAGCTTTGGCAAACTGCCACCTAGGGAAGGAGAGGGGAGGGTGAAAAGACAAGGGAAAACAAGGATGGTGAAATGGTCACTTATGGAGGTTATGAACCCTCCACGAGATATCCAAGTACAGAGACGATCAGAGAAAGATCAAGACAGGAAAGTGAGAGTCACAGTCCACATGGGGTGGGCTCACCAGAATTCAGGGAAGAGAACGAATGGTTCGAGAAGGCCGCCTCGGGTGTGTCAACATCACCCCAAAGGGTATGTCGACAGTTTAAATAACCCAACAGGAACACCAGCTCTGTTAAGGAGTCCAGGAGGTTCCTGACATCAGGAAAGGAAAGAGGGACATTTGGGGGAAAAATTTAACAGACTACATTTTACTCAAAAACATGGCCAGCCAAATAATGGATAGGACATGGAAACAGTAGGACAAAGGGATTATCAGTACGAATCAAGAGACCAATATAGTTATGGGCCCCAGCAAGATCAAAGGGGGGGGGGAGGAGAGGGGGGAGGAGAAGGGGGAGGAGAAGGGGGAAGAGGAAGAAAGGAATAACCACGACAGTTATCACGACGAGCACCAAGCATCGGCTCCCAGAGACAAAGAGGTGAAACCTTAACAGAACTAGAGTTCATGGGAGTTAGCATAAAACCCGTGAATATTCCATTGAAGAATTGACATTATCAAAAAAATAAAAGGACAGCAACGGAACAAAGAAACAAAGGTAAATAACACAGCATATTAAAAAAGCTAAAGATCAGAATAAGGTTTAGCGGGCCATGGGTTAACTTAGTAAGAATGGAGGGAAACAAAGAGCAGGACACCAGAGGCAGATTGACAGGGTTCAGGGAGGGGGGGGGGGCTGTCAAGGCCAGGAGGATAGGGGGTAGAAACTCTAGGTCAGCAACCAAGAGGGAATTGGGCAAAAAGCAACTTCCACATTAGGGACAGGGGGCCCCAACCAATAAAATGGGGAGTAAGCAATAGTTAGGGGGCGAGGAAGAAAGGAATGCCGTCTCTTTTCTTACCCGCAGGGGGAGGAGGATGGAGAGGAGCCAGGCTTACGTTTCTGACGGACAGGTGTTCCAGTAACATCGTACTGGCCGACTGACTAGGGTCTTAAGTGAAGAATGGGAGTGAACAACATCAAGATTGCTGGGAGGATGATGGACATCAGCCTGGACAGACAGGCGACGTGGAGGGACAGGAAGGATCGGGGAAAACGAAATGACTTGGCAGACAGGGTAGGAAAAGGAAAGAGGGGGGGGGGATCCAGAAGGAGATTCACGAGAGATACCTTCCGACCCAGGACGTAAAGGAACAGGGAAGGTGGTGGGCATGTTCGGATCCAAGGCCTAGAAATGGTTGTGGGACAAAGGTGGGAAGGACGAGAGGTAGAACAACGTGCGAGCATAAGATACGCCAGTGAAGGGGTGGACACTGCAAACCGTGTCTTGCCTCGGGAAAAGTCAAATGATCCTGGTGTTTCAAGTTAAGGACTACTTCAAGCTTTGAGTCGATACACGTGCGAGAGAATGTAGGGTGGGCCTCGCCGCAATTCAGGTAGCGAGCCCGGGGGATATGAGCAATCTGTCTTAGAGTGGCTATCGTCCCCACACTGGGGCAGAGAGAAACGAAGACTTGTGCATTTGAGGGCACCGTGCTCGAACTTGCCTCACTTATTACAATGAGAGAGGGGGGATGTACTCTTGAACAGGGCACCTGGCACCAGCAAGAATGATAGGTGGCTGAAGGGTCTTACTATCAAAAGGTGATACTATCAAAAGTGAGGTTTGTTTTTAAAAACCAATGTGTCGATATTACAAGATCAATGAATGTGAAATTATGAAAGATTGTCACCTTGCAGATGTGAAGTGAAACTAATCTGACAGTTGTGCGTTTACCCCCCCCCCCCCCCTCTACTTTACGTCACGACAACGACAGCCAGAAAGGGAGATGGACCTCATTTAGTAGAAAACTTATCACTAATATCTACAGTATGGGCAATGATAATCTATACAATTGTGTTCTATTAACGGTATTTTTTCAACTTAGCTTATGTACACCTACATTAAGTATCCTAATATACATGAACTTTGGTAAAGACTTACTATAATGCCTTGTATACTTTAAGTTTGATGTTGGCGACTATATTACCAATAGGTAATATATAAATTAGATTTTAACTACCTTCAAATACAAACATTTGCTATAATAAAGTAATTATAAAATTGAAAACCAATATAATAACCACCCTTTCACCAAGTTATGATCATTATTCTAATTAACACAATGTTGTACAATATTATAACTACAATATTTTCCAAAACATTTATTCAACTTGCCGACTTCAATGCAACAGGAATCTATCTTATCAATGTGGAGCGGTGATTATTCCTTCAATCCCATGCACCACACTACAAACTTGCAACCAACGTTTCTAAGCTCCGTTTGGCTTTAACAACTACAGCCAAGTTGGGAAAAAAACTGCCTGCCGGCCAAAAATAGCGCGGTTTTTCGCCGTTAGCGGCAAAAATCACCCGATTTTTGGTCGCCAGCTGCGACAATCGCATGGTTTTGGGCCGCTAGCGGCGAAAATCGCCCCATTTTTGGCCGCTAGCGGCGAAAATAGCCCCTTTTTTGGCCGCTAGCGGCGAAAATCGGTCGATTTTTGGCAGGTAGCGGCGAAAATCGCGCTATTTTTGGCCGGTAGCAGCTTAAATTGCGATTTTTGCCCGCCAGCTGCGAAAATCGCATGGTTTTTGGCCGCTAGCGGCGAAAATCGCGCGGTTTTTGGCCGGTAGCAGCGAAAATCGCGCAATTTTTGCCCGCCAGCTGCAAAAATCGCATGGATCAATATTATTGATTAATAAATATTTGTTATTAATATTTATTAATATTCAATATTCTAAATGTTTGCCTTAAATTTGGTCTATATTTTATTCCATATCATTTAATGATCTACCATAATGATTAATTTTGCTACTGGATTTGTACGTTACCTCAACCTAACTTCTGCCACTTTGCTTGGGTTCTCTGTTCTCTTCATATAGCAAAATACGCACAATTCCGCAACACGCTTGGTGCTCACATCTCAACTTAAAATTCCACACAACTGCCTCTAGCCGCCGACCCAAAGGTACACATGCCCCCACTAGGTCCAGGAACAGTCACGAGGTACAGTCCAGCCACGACCAGCTTCCCAATGTCAGGTCAGGACTATATGAAATCGATTTTTCACTTGCATAGTCCTGGGGACCATGCAGGACTTAGCATTTGTGTTCATCAACCGTCCCCCAAAGACTGAGACGATTTGATAATTTCATATGGCCAACATTACCATCGGAGTGCCGGCACGGAAGTGGTTCAAATAGCTGCGGCTATCACTTCCTTATGTACGGTCGTGATGGTCAAGTGCATTAAGGCATCCTGTACATACCAGTTGCGTTGCTCCTGGCAGTATGGGGTTCGAGTCACTTCTCGGGTGAGAGTTTTCAGATATACACACAGAGCTAGGATCATTACCTATATCTACAATATTTATCCTAACTATATACCTATAATAAATACCTTACATATCTTAAGATATGTAGCATATGCTAATTAAGGATAATTATATATATATATATATATATATATATATATATATATATATATATATATATATATATATATATATATATATATATATATATATATATATATATATATATATATATATATATATATATATATATATATATATATATATAATTTCATTGAATATGACCGCATATTCTGTATTTATTATTTTCTGGTTTAGGGCTTCTATCCCTCTAACTATTTTCTTAGCATCAGGGCTTAATTGAAATGGGAGTTCTCCAAAACTCATTTTCGTACTTTTAAGGTGAAGAAAAGAAGTGATTTACTATAGAGTGTATTACACTTATTTGTATAATTTGCACAAACTATATAAAAACTATTTATATAATTTGCACACAAAGTGCAAATTATATAAATAAGTGTAATACACTCTATAGTAAATCACTTCTTTTCTTCACCTTAAAAGTACGAAAATGAGTTTTGGAGAACTCCCATTTCAATTAAGCCCTGATGCTAAGAAAATAGTTAGAGGGATAGAAGCCCTAAACCAGAAAATAATAAATACAGAATATGCGGTCATATTCAATGAAACATGTTTGAAAGAAAACCTGCTGCCAGTATACACCAATATATATATATATATATATATATATATATATATATATATATATATATATATATATATATATATATATATATATATATATATATATATATATATATATATATATATATATATATATATATATATATATATATATATATATATATATATATATATATATATATATATATATATATATATATATATATATATATATATATATATATATATATATATATATATATATATATATATATATATATATATATATCTACCATATTTATTCTAGATTATCAATATATAATGTAATCTGGATATGTATATCTGATAACCTAGATATGCATCTAAAAGATATCATTTTCTAGATATACATCTAGATTATATATATCTATTTTATTTTCATATTAATTTAAATAAATAAAATATGTATTGTACAAAATACGTACTGAACCATTTCACGAGATTTCACTACAAATCAACGCCTACACTCCATGTAAATATCCAAAACATAAAACTACTTGTTACAATCTTGGTCGTAACTCCAAGTAACAAACCACACACTTATTACTGTGCACACAACTGTTAAACATTACTAAAGGTTATTAACACTACTATGTTTGTGTATATTATTTAATGAGTTCTATTAGTCTGCTGTTTCAGACTTATCAAAACTACATTCAAAAATCCCAACTTGTACATTACAAAGCAACTAATACAATAATGAACATTTGTGCCATTATTACAGGAGAGTACTGTCAGCATCACATCACTATCTCCTAACTGATAAATATTAAAGGAATACCTTTGACATGCAATTCCACAGTGAGGTCATAGGTCCCTTTACAAATCTATGCAAAAGTATCCATTGGTAAAACAAGATATAAATTTTAAGGCAAACATATCCATGGACACCAGTTAGTCAACAGACATGCAATCATCCTTATCTTGATCCTGGGTTTTATCAGAAACCTCCTCTTCTTCCTTCTTACTGTCTTCCTCTTTACCTTTCTTCTTTCCCAAGGCCTGAAAGTAAGAAATCAAATATATGAATGATTGATTCTATATTACTATGACTTATTGACAATCCAAATACAATACTAAATATCATGTATGCTCTACTGTCCTAGTTGTATTTACAGCCTATGAACTACACTAAATCGACAACTAAACACTATCAATCCTATTGGTTTTTAAATCTACTTTAAAGCTAGGGATACTGGTCCAAACACTTGGTCATTATTTAAACATTCAATTTATCTGTTCTGTTTATTATCACAAATATTTCACTGTCAGTATGTATCCATATTGGCAATTCACAACTATGAGGCAAAGTATCAATTGTCTAGTTATGTGATGAGATGACAAAAGCATATTACTGTATTCTTTGTATAGTGTGGGCGATACGCAACCATTTAGTTTGTCGGTACTAACCAAATAGCTGGAAATATCCTAGCAACATGTGGTCAGGTCACAATGACCTCAAGTAACATCCTTCCCAGTGATATCACAGTAACCTATGACATCAGGTAAGGTACAACCTACATTTGGATGTGCATCTATATAGATTAAGTAATTATCAAAACAAGGCACCAAACCAGGAAGGCTATGTAGCACAATCGAATGCTCCGAATAATCAGAGGGCGCTAAATATCACTAAGGATGCCAATATGAGAACAGAAACGCACAAAGCGAACGATACCAAATTTATCAAATTAAAAAAAAATTCGATCGAGGGACAAGTGACTGCAAGGGATAGTCGGAAACCAGAGCATAGAGAATGCCATAAAGTTCTGCCGTGAATATGCCAAGTCTCCAGAGGCAGGCGACATATCTGGTCAGGAAATAACTTGATGGCCTACACTGTCTGCAATCTTAGACCCATCAGTGAAGATGGAAATTAAATGGTTGTGTGAAGAAAAGTGTTCAAGGAAAACATTTCTGAACTGTAGGAGGGGTAAAACCTTTAGTAATGTGGCTCAGGGATTTAATACATTTAGCAAGGGAGACCCTCCACAGGAGGGCAAAGATGGAATACTAGGAGAAATATTGGTAATACTAACCGAAAGAGAATTTTGCAGGCGACAAAACTGACCAGAAAGACGGAGATGGGTGAAGGGGAACATGAGGTACAGGAGGGGTAAAAGTCAAAGTACGACATAGGCAACAGTGAGGGGTATTATAAGCATCATAAACACAGACTACTCAAGATCACGGCCTCTTCCATTACTCGCCACCGTCGCGTGGCTCGTTGTCTCCACCCTATGCGCATTTCTCAAACAACATACTTCATCGTTCTGTTCCGCCAAGCCACAACCTCTCCACACGCTACCATCCTGGAAATCCATAATATGCATCAACTTATCATCGACAACATTTCCTATTCTGTCCTACAACCATCTACGAACACTCCATTAACAATTCCTTATATTACACATTTCCGCAATGAACAACATTTCAGTATATTTCAGCATCTAACAATTTGGATATTAATTTCATATAAAGGGTGTTAAAAGTTTGTCATCATATAGGTTGACAACTACAATACATAGCAAAACACATTTTCAACCTCTGACGAGTCCTACTTTTATATACAATTCATTAAAACCGCAACCATGACAATCCCCACCAACCTCAAAACTAACCGTTTCTTATACATACAATTGCAGTGCTAAACGCAATTTTTTCCCTCCTCGGGCTTTAGTCCTGCAAACTTAACCCCCTCAGCCTCTCATTTCCTGTTACACTTCTGCCTAGCCAACATTAACTGCTAAACAACTACCTACTAATACCTATATCACCACACATTCCCACTTCTCCAGGGACACATCTCTTCCTAGTACACAATTCTCAATTAACACTACAAAATCAACTCTACACCAATATACTTACTGCTACACACGACAACCAACACCCCCCCCCCTGGACCAATACCTCAAGTTAACAACGCACTTACATTTCAAGGACGAACAATCAGGACATGTTCCTTTCACTTCTGCCTATACTACAACACGCGCTAGCCATGATTACATTTTTCTAGTTACACAATTATTACACCACAACGTGTAATGTCTCAACCCACATACACATTACTCAAAAATTACTGGCACGAGCCTCGTCTCGAGTGCAAATTAATCCACCGCAACATTTACATTCCCTCCATGTATCAACCAATCATTCTTAAACCTTCATTTTATGACTTCATCCTATGAAGGAGGTCACGCTTATTTCATGCAGTACCATTAACATTATAAACTATATGCCTTACTCAAATTAAATATTCTAATGGTTATTGTTACTAGCAGCTGTACGTCAAACAACCTACAGATAAATATGTCTGCGTCACTAAGACGACAGCAAGCCAACGGATTTTCAAACCTTCACCCTCTCATGTCTAATTAAAGTGGTCTGGTTACCAGAGTACATAAACTCCCCATTAAACGCTTGGTGAGGGGGGGGGGTTACTACACCACTATCAACTTTTAAAGACACGACGCGCGAACCGTGAGCAAAAACCCTATCTAGAGTTATTCATTAGTCATAACACGTTTCCTGAAGCAACACCATCCTGCAGCAAAACTCAGTTTTTCTTCTTTATAAACTAACTTTTACACCAGACTCACAGGTTAAGGCGCTTCAGTTTTTAATGAAAACACTCGCTAGGAGCGCCCCAATATGCCTGTATTAGTCGTCAAACTCCCACTTAACACATAAATGTCCACCTCATACCATCCCCTCCAACTTCCTTATTCAACAACCAAAATACTTATCTATTGCATCACCCCAATCTACTGCCTTCATACCTTGTTTTACATTTACATTTTTCATATAACCTAATTGCCAGTAAATCACGTCAACCACCCCCTATCGTCATCACGTCAACCACCCCCTATCGTCATCACGTACATTTACTTTGCTACACCTCGAGTGGGTGACACTTCAATATACACGACGGCGTTAGGCCCGGAACACTTCCCTTAGTGGCCACGTTCTTATTAACTACTTGAACCCTACCTTACATAGGTGTTAAAGCAACACTTTTACAGGCATTCTTAATATGCTTACTTATCCCGTCTATACAGTTTCCCATTACCAAAAGTAGGAAGTAATGACTTCCTACTTTATTATTACACCAACTTCTCAATGGGACTAAATATTTACATGTTAACTAATTAGTCATCAACGTTGACAAACTTACGAAATGATTATATCTTCAATACTTCCACTCACTATTTTATTCCCACTTTAATAACTATTTCACAACGTGAACACTAATGCCTGCAAAACTACCTTTGTCACATTCAACTTCCACAACATTTAGGTGATAATAACTACTCTCGGGCGCCTCAACGTCACATTCAAACCCACACAATATTAACACAATCACCTTTAGACTAGTAACGTGGCCCAACCTCCTACCTATCCCCACGATTCTTCTACAAGACTAGTCACACACTTACTGCAAAGTCTTCACGAATAGGGCAGTTGGAGCGTATGTTCTAACAAACAGCCCAGGGGTCCTCCCAATCTGTCCGCTATTACCTGCAACAAGGCAACGTCATGTTATCAATATCAATCATGCCTATACCATACCTTTAATTGCAACATGTACTTTCACTAAACTAATTTCATGCTCCCAATTTCTAATGCCACTTAAAAGCATAGATCCCACCTAGATAGTCAACGAGTTTTGCAGCTGTTACTTGTGGCCTCGACACCCTCCGAGTACCTAATACTATTAACCACTTCAGTCTCACTTTACTACGCTATCCTATTACAATATTACCACGCCTCTAAACTTACATTAGATATTCAATAACTACTTGCCTTAAACTCATACCGCCATCATAGATGCTAACTCACGCAGCACATCTTGCCAAACCGGAACATCTGCCACCACCTTCTGCTCGCCACCGACTTGATTCATCGGTCCACCACAACCTTAGTCTCTCCTCCACCTTCCTAAATCACCAGTCGGCTCATTTCACGCGATGCCTCGTCTTCCCACCATTACCTCATTCTCTTCACAATAACGCTGAAAAGCAAACATTACAATTCACTACACATTTATAAATATCTTTTAGTACTGATTACAGGTCACCACTCAAATATCTGCCAATAGATATATATATTCCCCAAGAGGGTATATACGGCAGCTGTAAAATATATATTTTTGACCCTATGTATTGGCGTTTTGCGGGTGTACAATATGAGTGTAAGCTAGGGGATCTGTCAGCCCTAGCGACCCCAAAGGGTAACGGGGTACCAGCTCTGAGTAACATCACGCCCTAACACTAACTTGTACACCACAACTATGCCAATACTGGGGTCAAAACGTTCCGTCGAGCCTCACCCACCAAGTCGACTCAACAGCCAATCACGTTTCGATTTTTCAATTGACGTCACTTCTCGCAACCTCTACTCTCATTGGTCGGCTCCACCTAATTGGATACTCTAGTAATTCATGACAATTATTTATTGAAACTCAAATATATACACTCAAATGTATACCCAATGTATGAGAAACATACATATACCATATGTATGAAAAACAATGTTTGACTTTACACTCACAAATGATGACTTTGGATTAATTATTATTATAATGATTAAATAATAACTATACTTATTCAAGCTGTAAGTACAGTACAACACAGTACACTTCCCTACGGTACGATACATTACAGTACTATACATTACAGTACTGTAGAGTACAGTTCCGTACTGTACAATACATTAACTACTATACAGTACAGTACCGTATCATACAGAACAGCCAAGGGCACAGTACTCTACAGTACAATAGAGAACAGTACAGTACCGTATAGTACAATACACTACAGTAAAGTGGAGTACAGTACACTACTAGGTACAGTACAGTTCCGTACAATACTCTACATAACAGTACCGTACAATACTCTACATAACAGTACCGTACAATACTCTACATAACAGTACACTACACTACAAGGTACAGTACCCTACAGAACCGTACAGTGCAGTCCAGTACTGTATACTACACAAAAGTACCGTACAGTACAATATGGTACACAATAAAACAGTATAATGCAGTACGGTACAGTACAATGCAGTACAGTACACTATAAGACACAACAGTACACTATCTTGAGGTTATCTTGAGATGATTTCGGGGCTTTTTAGTGTCCCCGCGGCCCGGTCCTCGACCAGGCCTCCACCCCCAGGACGCAGCCCGTGACAGCTGACTAACACCCAGGTACCTATTTTACTGCTAGGTAACAGGGGCATAGGGTGAAAGAAACTCTGCCCATTGTTTCTCGCCGGCGCCTGGGATCGAACCCAGGACCACAGGATCACAAGTCCAGCGTGCTGTCCGCTCGGCCGACCGGCTCCCACTACCGTACACTCACAGTTCGTTACTTATAATAATAATAATAATAATAATAATAATAATAATTTTTATTTAGGCAAAGGTACATACATAAAGAGATTTTACAAAGTTTGTTGGCTTTATAGATAGAGCTAGTACATACAAAGCCTAAAGCCACTATTACGCAAAGCGTTTCGGGCAGGAAAAAACACTACTGACTAAAGCTTAAAACTAATGGGTAAAAAGAAAAAAATGCGTTGAGTACAAATAAAAATAGGGGTAAAAGAGGGGGGAACATTGTTGAAAAAACAGCACAAATACAATTACAAATTATTACAGAAAATTACATTCAAACAGCGTTGATTTGAAAAAAAAAAAAAAAAAAAAACATACATGGGTTGACAATAGAGAGGTAAGGTAGGTTACAGGGAATTTATTAGGTATAGCTTCGTTTTTAACTTAAACTGGTTGAGAGAGGTACAGTCTTTAACATGGTTGGGAAGGTCATTCCACATTCTGGGCCCCTTGATTTGTAGAGCATTTCTGGTTTGATTAAGTCGTACTCTAGGAATATCAAAACTGTATTTATTTCTGGTGTGGTGCTCATGGGTTCTGTTACAACCTTCTATGAAGCTTTTGAGGTCAGGATTGGCATTACAGTTTAGCGTTTTATATATGTATAATACACATGAGAGAATGTGCAGTGACTTAATGTCTAACATATTCAGGGATTTAAGTAGGGGGTACCGAGTGATGTCTGGGGCCAGAATTGGATATTGTCCTAATAGCAGCTTTGTGTTGAGTAATTAGAGGACGTAAGTGATTTTGGGTAGTAGAGCCCCAAGCACAAATACCATAGTTGAGATATGGATAGATAAGGGAGTAATAGAGAGTCACCAGGGCAGGGCGTGGTACATAATATCTGATCTTACTTTCAAATATCTGAACTTGCCTTTCAAATGTACCAACGGCATTACCATTACAATTTTGTTACTTAAATCTCTATTTCTTGAATGTAACAACACTTAATAAGCAACAAATTTCACATGAGATGGGGAGAGAGGACATTGCTGCAATGGCGGTGTGTGGCAACTAACGCTAGTATCACTAACGACCATTCTTAGTGCATTATTACCTTTCCAACCGTTCATTTTCCTCTCTAAACAACACCAATGTATATATATATATATATATATATATATATATATATATATATATATATATATATATATATATATATATATATATATATATATATATATATATATATATATATATATATATATATATATATATACACGATTTAAGCCATAGATACACACGGCAACTAGTAATAACGATTAATTAACATTCAATCAAATACTGTTTCACACATTTCTGCAAACTCAGTCATTTTCCAGAATAAAGATCTTGTGCGTTACACTTCCATCATTTGAACTCTTGTGAGTCCTTTTATTGAGACTGACGCTATATTATGCTATGTTAAGCTAAGCAAGCTACGCTACACTGGACTAGGCTAGGGTAAGCTAGGTAAAGTTAGATACAATACCGTAAATTAAAGGGTACAATACAGTACAAAACATTATAGTACACTACCCTACTATACAGTACACTACCATTCACTACAGTATAGTACAATACACTATAGGACAGTGCAGTAGAGGCTACAGTACAGGATACAATACAGTACAGGGTGCATTACATTACAGAACAGTAAAGTATAGTACAGCATAGTGCAGACCAGTACAGTACAATACATTAAAGCAAAGTGAAGTACAATACTAAGTATTGTATTTTATTGTACATACAAGTACAGTGCAAGATTTTCTATTAGAAATTCCCCTAAAATTCCTACTAAAAATTCACAAACAAATCCTAATACAAATTCCCCTACAAATCATACTAGAAACTACTCTACAAATCCTACTAGAAATTACCATAGAAATCCTACTAGGAATCCCCTAAAAATCCTACTCAAAAATCAAACTATACATTTTACTACAAATCCTACAAGCAATCCTACTATGATTCCAAGAAAAATCCTACTAGGATTCCACTACAAATCCAACTAGAAATCATCTACAAATACTACTTGCATTCCTACTAAGAATCCCCTCGAAATCCTACTATAAATATCTATAAATCCTTCTAGAAATCATACTAGCAATCCTACTACAAATCATAATAGAAAAACTATTATGATTCCTACTATAAATCACCTATAAATCTTACTAGGATTCTCACTATAAATCCCAATAGGAATCCCCTAAACATACTACTACAAATTACCTAACAATACTATTGCAAATCTTACTATTTCCTTCAATATTTCATATTATTGTTCAATCTATATGAATGGAAATGTTCGTTTGTCCATAACCGCTATTCAACTTAACTTCTTTACCAATTGCCTGGATTTTTGAACACAACGTTGCCTTTGAATAAGCCCATCTTTTTTCTATACCTTCTATATACATGCCACACCTGTGACAGGTAAAACTATGCTTTTCTTCAATACACCAACATCTGCTGCATGTCAAAGCAACACACGTTATACTAAATATGTTACAATTCAATTTCAATGTTTTTGATTGCAATGATAATTTGATTTTTCTTACATTCTTATTTATTTGCATTTGGATTCCATTATTTTGTGTACATTGCTTTGAAATTGAGCCGTGTCGTTTACCATACCAATCATTTCATGATTATAATTCATATTTTCATTCCTTTTTTTAACTGCAATTCTTATATTTCACTGATGGGAACATCAGATCAATTTAACATCAGATCACTTTAGGTTCCAAATTTTCTGATGGGAACATCAGACCATTTCGGAACGCATCGGACGGTGGAGTGGGGAATGGTTGGGAGGCCGAGGGGACGGGTGAGGGGGGGGGGGGGGGGAATGGTGGGGAAGATTGGGCGACAATGAAGGTTGCTGTGCCTCAGCAACCCGTTCACAGGTACAGTACTCCTAGTATTGAAGAATATTTTTCAATAGTGATACTCTTCATAAATATTATTATTCAGTAGTATTGAATAATGTACAGTATTAGTCATTATTAATATTATTAAATAATTTATTATTATTTATTAGTATTTACTCATTATTATTCAATATCAATTATATATATATATATTTTTTTCATTACTATCGAATATTATTCATTATTATTCAATATCATCAAATAT